GAGGCCCTTTTAATCGGAGGCTAGAGAGTGCGGTGGAGACCTCGTCGTCTAAAGAGGTTACATCGCGAACTTCTTTCTCCAATGGTGAGCTTGTGACAAAGGCTGTGGCGGCTAGTCGTATGAAATGTGCTGGACCTAGTCCTGGACTTTGTGTAGCACTAACAAATCTGTTGTCAGGTAGGACCACTTGCATTTGGTTGTCCATGTCGTCAGATATGTACTGAGAACTGGGACGTGAAAGCGGGTCTGCGACGAGATGTGTTTTGCCTGGCTTGTGAGTTAATACGAAGTCGTAGTCAGCTAGTTCCAGAGCCCATCGAGCTTGTCGTCGTGTAAGTCGTTGTGCCGTACGCCAGTACTGGAGGTTAGCGTGATCAGTCCAGATTTCGAACGGTTTAGGCAGTCCTTCCAGGAAGTGACACCAGTCTCTTAGGGCTTCGATTATGGCCATGAGTTCACGATCGTAGATTTCGTAATTGCGTTCTGCAGCGTTCATGGTCTGAGATCGGAAGGCGATTGGATGCCATAGAGTGTCATTCGGATCTAATTGACTGATTTCTCCTCCAGTAGCATAGCCAGAGGCATCAACTTGTACGCGCGTGTCTCGATCGGCGTGCCAGAGAGCGAGTACTGGTTCAGTGGTAAACTTGGACTTCAATGTATCGAAAGCCTGTTGCTGTGCAGGTCCCCACATGAAAGGAACGTCTTTCTTTGTGAGGTCGTGCAGCGGGCGGGCTATCTTGGAGAAGTCCTGGATAAACCGGCGGTAGAAGTTGGCGAACCCGACGAAGCCTCTAACGTCTTTCAGGTTTGCGGGCGTGGGCCATTCTGTGACCGCTTTCACTTTTCCTGGGTCCATGCTGACCGATCCTTCGCTGATGAGTAAGCCGAGGTACTCGATTTGGTCTTTCTCGAACTCGCATTTTTCAGGACGTAGATAGAGATCGTACTCTTTGAGGCGTTCTAGTACTTCGTGTACGATCTTTCGGTGTGATGCGAGGTCTGAGGACCAGATGAGGATGTCGTCCAAATATACTGCAACTTTTCCTTCGGCGATGAGGTCTGCAAAGATCGTGTCCATGAGGGCTTGGAAGGTTGCCGGCGCGTTGGTTAGTCCAAAGTACATGACCCGTGGTTCGAAGAGTCCTCTGTTGGTGACGAAGGCCGCCTTCCATTCGTCTCCTGCTTTAATCCTGACGTTGGTGTATCCCCAACGGACGTCAAATTTAGAAAAGATCCTTGCGCCTTGCAGTTTGTTGATAATATCATTAGCTAGGGGCAGTGGGTATCTATTCTGGATGGTGGCGTCGTTGAGTTTGCGGTAGTCTTGGATGAGTCTGAGCTTGCCATCTTTTTTCTTGATAAAGAAGACAGGTGAAGCGATGGGCGACTTGCTGGGGACTATGTAACCCTTTTTGATTGCATCATCTAGGAAGGTTTGTAACTCCTGATTTTCTGCTGGGCTCATCGGGTAGACTTTAGATCGGATCGTTGAAGGGGCGTCCGATTTTAGATCGATGGCGTGATCCCAGGCTCTATGTTCAGGCAGCCTCGTAGAATCTGTCTCAGAGAAGACATGGGCATGTCGATGATACTCTTTGGGGACGAGTTGCTCGAAGGTTTTCGAGTATTTCTCCTTGTTTTGTTCGACTGCTACTTTCTGAGAGTAGGTGTAGCCTGCTAGGCAGTAAACTTCGTCTGTAGCGTTATCGAGTATACCGGCCTTCACCCAGGCCCGGCGTTCAGCTCGATTAGCTTCGACTTTAGTTAAACTTGGCGACGCGGGTAGATCAGGCGATGCTTCTGAGCTGTCAGGAAGCGTCATCTCGCCTGTCTCCCAGTCTATAGTGGGGTTGACTTTCTTTAACCACGGTAGTCCGAGGATGATGTTCTCGGGACCGATATCTGTGATAAAGAAGTCGTATTCTTCGGGAGTTCTCGATCCGATTTTGACTTTGAGTTTGGCGTAGTGTGTGATTGCACCAGCGCTGTTAGTCGATCCGTCAATATTTCGGAGACCTATCTGTCGTTTGAGTGGTCGTTTGTAGATGTTGTTTTCTCGTGCGAATTTCTCATGTAGGAAGTAACCGGTGGCACCGGAATCGATCATAGCAGGTGTGCGTAGAGATTTATTTACTCCTGATATTGTTACAAATACGCGAAAGTGAGACGAGAGATGATCTATTGACGATACAGTGCACGACGAGATATGGTCTGAGGGATCAGAGTCCGAATGTACAAGAGCCGGCGCTGTTGAAGGCCGCTCATCTAAACCGGGCACCAGAGCTGCAGCTCTAGTCTGGGCCCTTGCTAAAAACCCTGGCTGAGCTTTGCCATCAATTCAGCCTGTTGCTTCTGCATCAAGACCATCATGTCTTTGAGACTGGCTACGTCGGCAGCCGAGTCTTGAGACGTAGAGATGGAAGCCGATGTCGAGGGGCTTGTCGACGATGAAGCTCGGACCGATTGCGGTTTTGGTGGCTGTCCGTTTAATCTCGACAGGCAGAGCTTTTTCCAGTGACCGGGTTTACCACAATGTTGGCACTTGGTGTCCTCGTGCGCGCCGTCTGCCTTGTGACCTTTGGAACCGCAGACGCGGCAACGACCAACCATGAGCTTATTGTATTGCTTCTTAATCTCCGCAGGGTCCTTGAGACCCTGGAACAGGTCGTCGAAGCGTGCGGCGGAGATGTCCATGGCATCGATGTCCATTGCGTTCGGATCGCGGAAACCGGAAGATCGCGTCGTTGTCGTTGACCGGGGTTGCGAGACTGGTTTGCCTTGATTGGCCGCCAGGTCTGCTTTTTGCAGGTCGATCGTTGCTCCGTAATTTTTTACCATGTTGTAGTCTGTGGCCAGAGGGGCGAAGTAAGACAGCCTATTGAGGTAATCCGAATTCATCCCAGACTTGAGACGATCGTAGAGGTCGTTATTTGACCAGCCGGTACGACGAGAGTAAGTCTCGAAGTCGGAGAGGTAGTCTGCGAACGTCCGATCGCCTTGTTTGATTGACATGAGCTTCTGCTTGGCCTCGTTTTTCGCGTCAACGGGTTCGAATTTAGCCGAGAACTGCTTGACGAACTCGTCCCAGTCAGCGTTGAATGGAGTGCGTCCATCGGAGAGTTCGTCGATGTGAGGGCGTGCCCAGACCGCTGCTTCGTCCGTCATGAAGGATAGGATACCGGTGATCATTTTGAGCGGGTCCATTATCCAGTTGCCGGCATGGTCGAGGATAATGACGTCTTGAGCGTTTCGTGAGGCGAATATCTCTTTGTTTCCTCGGACGTATACGCGGAAGGCGCTGCGGAACAATCTGGCTTTTTCGGACGATTTACCGTCGAAGGTGGCTGGTTTCTCGACGAAGGACCTGGACCGGGTGGAAGAAACTGTGGCGACCGGCTAGCGCGCATGTGCTACGAACTGGTTTACGGTCGTCGTGAGGTTGTTGACGTTTTGGACCAGTGTGACCATGAGGTTCAGTACGTCCTGCATGGTGGGCTGCGGTGCTGGGGGTGGAACATCCATTGCTTCGGTGGGTTCTTCTAAGTGATATCGTTCACGAATTCGTCCTTCTTGTTCGCTATTGATGAACAGGTATGGAGGGTTCTCGGAGGTGACTGGTCGTGTCTGGTGCTCGTAGTAGCGATTTGGACAGAGATAGTTTGTGCAGGTGTTCAACTGTCTTCTTTCGTCCAAATAGTAATCTCGAGCTTCTTCGAAGTTGAAGACGTGAGCGAAGGCCGCGCAGACTAGGCGAGTGTCCGCCACTGTTTCTGATTCGTCCGCTAGGACGGAGAACGGGTTTATAGAAAGTGGAAAGGGAGTTCTAGGAATAATTGTACTAATTCTAGCTCGACGAGATGGTCGAGCGCGTAATCTAGTACGTACGGATCGAGGATTCGTTCCTCGTCGTAATCTATGTATTCGTAAACTATGTATTCGTCCAGCTTTTCTAGTCGAAGTAGCCGTTGACCCAAACCGCACGAAGTGCTTTGAAAATCTGGACTCGGTTACGCCGTAGTCCTTTAAACGAGATCCCGCCGATCTGCTTCAATCCTGAATCCCAGCGGTTCCACTCCTCGATGCTGATGACGCGCGAGACGTCTTTGAGGGTGCGATCGAGGTGAGCGAGGCGGTCGCGAAGCTTGAAGACGGCGTTGATGTCGTCGATTAGGACGTCGGGGCAGTCGAGCGACTCGAGCACGTTGAAGCGCTTGAGGGTGGCGGCGAATTTCGGCGCGAAGATGCGGGCGAGGTCGGCGGCCGTGTAGCGGGAGAAGTCGATGGTGACGGGCTTCGGGGCGATGGGGGTGTAGGTCGGAGCGGCAGTGAGGCGATCCGCTAGAGAGCGGCTGGAAGAGGCGCTGGCGTGCGCGTTTTGTCTAGCGCGGGCTTGGTCGCGTTGCGCTTGGAAGTGCTGGCGGTCGTCGTGAGCCGCGAGTTTGGCCTGCTCGACTGCGTCCCAGTCGATGGTAGGGAGAGCGGTGGACGGAGGCGGGAGTGTAGAGACGTGCCTGATGACGGCACGGAGCTCGGTGGTAGTGTACTGGTGGGGGGCGCCTGCTTCGCGTTCTCGACTAAGTTGGTCGAATACGGCTTCGGGCAGCGCGCGTCGGAGGCGTGGGTGACGCTCGTCCGCGAGGCGTTTGAAAGCGCGAGGGCGGTCGGGCAAATCCTTCGGCACTGGTTTTATGCAGGGATTAGCGCTACGCGCGTACGTCTGCCACCAATCGCCGAAGAGGCTTACTCTTCAAACGGTAGGAATAAACTTTTTTAAAACTGTGCACGGGGCACTGGATAGGGGGGAATAGTCCGGGTGCACCAAGATCTCAACCTAATGATGTGGACTTGCGTCAACACACCACGAGGGATACTAAGTGGATCTAAACAGAAGGCGGCGCCGACGAGGTCTGGCGACTAGTGTGTTAGCTTATTCAGCTAGCCCAATTAACCAAGTGTATTAGCAATTTGTACTACGATACAAGTAAAGGCTTACCTAGCCC